GTATGGATATCATGGCATAGGCTGCTAAGAGACCAAATAAGATGTCGGAGGAAGTGAGGAAGAGAAAAAGTGAAAGTGACTGAGCAAGAGACTGGACAAGAGGAAATATGTGAGCTAAAAGAGCTGAAAGTATTGAGAACAGATGCCGAGCTGGCCTTCTTTCTGTTGTACTAGTCTTGCTGTGTCTTAAGCTGCTGTGCTTGCTGGATGTTTGGCTATGTTAGCAAAGTTGCCAACTCAAGCAAAATCAATCCAGACAGAGCTTTAGCTGCTAGCTATAATCTGTAGTTGATGTTAGCAGTGTTACAGATGTCAGTGTGATGTACTCTTGCATCAGTTACTGTCTAGCTTTGTTGGCTGGCTTGCCGTGCAATTTTCAAGCAACATTATCATGCTTCTGCTAATAGAGAATGGTGCTGGTGTCGTGCTGGAGCCGGGCTCAGCAGCCTCTATGGATGTAACATTAGCTAACAGTAGAGGCAAAGAGTCCAAAGAGGACACTGACAGAGGAAGCTAAGAAGACCAAGCAAGAGTCAGCCGGACATTCCTTTGTGAAATAAAAGGCTGCAAGACAGTCACCAAGCTGGCCTTCTTTCTGTTGGACTAGTCAGTAATTGTGCTGTGCCTTGTGTTGTCACACTTGTGGTCTCTCACTTGTTGCTTGGTGTTTGGCTGTTAGCAAAGTTGGCGACTTGCTAGTTTTTGATCATAAGTAATGTAATGATAACATGCACATGTGGTGACAGTGGTGAATTACACTCTGAAACATCACACTGTTGCTATAAATGAAAAAATTGGAAAGTTTAGAAGGGAAATCTGTCATTGGTATCAGTGGTAACAACTCATTAGCATCGAAAACATGAATTGCTAATGCAATCGAGCCTATCCTCCACAGAAAAACAACTATATAGGCTGTTTTAGCCACACAAAATTATGACTCATGTCAACACATTCTCACTCCCGACTCGTCACATAGTGACGCTTGGTCAAGGCCCTTTGTCGTCGCTTTTAAACGACTTGGGTAGCCCCTTTGCGTCAATTATTGACGTTTAGGGATCCGTGGTCAAGTTAGCAACACTTAGCAACAATAAATATACAACGTCCGGTTAGACTTTCAAAATAAAATGCTAACATTTCGAAACATCACCATTTTCAATCTTCACAGCTTTCTCATTCCTCATCTTGACGGGTGCATCTAGCAACTACCACAGGGAGTATTTCAGAATAAGAGCGTTTTGCCTGCCGGATTTTGCAGACACGTTTAGATTTTGTTGATTTGGTGATTAGTGCTTGCTTTTTGTGCTTCTACTATGATTAAGTAGGCTACGTAGTTAAATTGTTTTGTTTTTGTCTGTGTTTATTGTTGACAAACGATTGGAAATCTGTACCAGGTATTTTATTTTGAAAATAATAACGGATTCTGTGCCGTTTCTGTGACTTCTGGGACGCACTGCAGAGCTTCTGGTGTCAGCTCTGGCAGCAGCGAAGCAGACGGACTCAGTGGACTTTCAGAGTGAGTCCGGGGTCATGTAAACTTGGTTTATGACTTTGTAGCAGGTGGGCCCCATGATGAAGCTCCGCCCCCACTGTGCTGAGAGTCTAGCTCCGCCCCCAATTGTTGGTAAATCCCCGTTTCCACTACTGGGACCAGCTCGACTGGACTTGGTTTTGGCCCGCCGTCCTCCATTTTTCAATGCAGATTGTACCTAGTTTAATGTAGCAAATGATGTAAAGTACAAATTTGTACTTTAGCACAATATTTGAGTAAACATATTTAGTATTTGACACCATCACTCCCTCCCAATCCCTGCATCACCTTTGTCTACAAATTGGTTTCAGCTACAGGAAATACCTTTTTCAGGTTGCCTCCACATTTTAGGTTCTAGCAAGTTTCGGGCTTCAGGTAAGGATTGGCCTTCACTCCTCTCTACTGTCTCTTCTTCTCCTCTCTTTTCCCACTCGCTGCCAGTCTGCCAGAGGACAGTTGGGAGAGCATGCATGAAGATGGAAAAGAGGGAGACATGGAAAAAGGTCCAAGCCTCATTGTCTACATGTGGGCACTGAACTCGAGCTGATGTGTGCATCCATCTTTAGTTAGCCTCTGAAAGAACAGCAGCCCTGGATCATCTCCCTGCCCTGCAGCTTCCAGACAGCAGATGCTTGTTCAAGAAGTACAAAGGTGAGACATCAGTGCCGCCCGAAGGCCTGCAGCAAATCAAACCTGCCGAGTGGCAAGAGTTGTTGAGGATAATAAAGGTATTCAAGGCACTACTGCTTTATTAGTCTGGATTGTGGCTGGAAAATTGAGAGCAAGAAGAAATGCAACAAATCAAATTCAAAGCTGCGGAAATGAGAGTACATGCTATGTGAGATACACCAGAAGCCTCCTCCTAATTTGTCTGGCACCTCAATAGTTGAGAAACCTTTTAAGAGGGAAATTGGAACCGTACAGAAGAGGTCCTGGCATGTGTAGTCAGATTTTTGTTAGTTACTTTGTGTTTATCTTGCTAGATGTGGGCTATTATCTGTAACCTATCCTACCCTCATGAATTCACAGCTGAGGATGTTTAAATTCGGCATGTGAAAATGTGAACACGCGTACACACTCATACAGTCTACACCTGAGAGAAACAGTAGCTGCAAATGATTCAGATTGTTTGTTTTTAACCTGTTTGAAATATCAGAGGGGTGAAGTTAACAGCAGCAACAGGGTTCATATGAAGTCAGGTATCTTGTCAGTCAAAGGGACGCTAGAGCGACTTTGAAATGTTTTTTCTGTGACTGACAGAAGGTCTGGCAGAGAGATGACACACAAACAACTATCCTATCCTAACTATTTTATTTTGTAGCAGTGAGGAGAAGGAGGGCACACGGCTTTCATGATGGTTTTTAACTTGCTACTATGACTGTGATCACAGGCACTAGAGTGATTTTACTACTTTGATTTAACTCCCTGAATCGTACATCTCTTCACCAACAGATCAATTAACACACTAATAAACTAATAAACACACTGCAATGCAGCAAGTCAGATTGTCTGGTCTGGGACAATAAACAATGACACTGATTAGTAAAACTTGCTGTATTAATTGTGTCATTATGCTTATCATTTCTTCTGTTTTAAGCTACAACCCCACACTATTAAACTGCACGTGTAACTAGGTGGATAACAGCAGATAGCGGCCGTGGTAATGGCGTTACACACTTCTCCTGCTGATTCAAAATACAGAACACCACTGTTGCTAGGCGGCAACCTCACCTCATCTAAAAGCAGCTTTATCGTGGCTAATAATTAGCTACCATCAGCAAACTTTTGATAGATACTGCTGTATAACCCATGAATGCATTAAGAGAACTGGATAACACATTCCAAGATGGTCCCGTTTATATGAAAGTATCTCCCTAGCAGCATATGCCAAAAAAGTCTTCTTTTTGGTGGAGGTGGTTGAGAGCGTGTGCATTAGAGACTACTTGATAGCTTCCCGCACACATGAATGGTATAAAATCATTTATGTGGCTCTCTTTGATTGAGAGATTTGATTGGAGCGAGCGTTACATAGACTTGTATTAATAAAACTCACCATTGACACATGGGTGAGGTGGACACAAATAGATTGAAAAGAGAGGGTGGAGACATTCACATGCAGTCAGGCACAGTGCTAGCACACACAGGCACATACAACACGCACAAGCACATAAGCTACGACACATACACATAGACACACACCACACACAAAGATACAACACGCACACCGCACACAAATGTGGGTCGTCATGGTTGCCAACTGGTTGTTGCCTTGTTATTTCTGCATTTCGTTGAGTTTGTTATTTAAACGAATTGTCATTATTTCACTACCAGTTGCTGCGCTGTGTTGTTGTTTGTTCAGCTTGACTGTTTTTCTCCTGCAGTTGTTTTCTTTTCTGGATGGTTGTCCCCCCCCAGTAAAGTAGACAGTAAATAGGATCCTTATCAATATCAGTATTATCAATATACTGATAGAGAGAGGAATTAGATATGGTATTACTTTATCACACGTTTCCATTGCCAGTCAAGCCGTGAATGTCAGATTGCTCGACACAAGCCGTCCTAATCCAGCATCAGCTGGCTTCCAAAGCTATTCGATCATGCAACAAACACTTTTTATAAGTAAGATATCGCAAAAAAACCCTTTTCTTTACACACCTAGTGTTTACATTTTGCTTGCATGTGAATCACATTTCCACACTGGTAGAGCAGGAAGTGTTCTTCTCAGGGTGGAGCAGCACATGCAAACAGAAAAACTATAATGGAAGCGGCTAAGTCAGTGTGGACTACTTCCTGCAGAAAACCCCAACATCCATTCTCAGTTGGCAGTAGTTGGTTAACTGTCTCATTGAAAAAAATGCTTCTGTATTGCAAAGTAACGCTGGGGTTCAAGGAAACACATTGTCTTTTTGCACTACAAGGTCATGTTTCTGAAGCTAGGCTAATTTTCACTCTTTACATTTCCTCTCTGACCCTGTGATGAACTAAGCCTAATTGCCTCACCAGTGTGGCAGACTGTTTGTATGCAAGTTAAATGAGATATAATGAGGATAAAGTAGGGGTGTGCAAATGCACTTGTTTCTTCAGGGGCATAATGTGTATTTCCAGATAACAGAGAAAAGAAAATAACATGTACTTGGAAAAGACTTTAACTGTGTAGCTGGCTGCTGTTAACGTAGCTCCTTGATACACCAAACAGCCAGTTGTTTGCTGGGAAAGTGTGGATTACTTTTATGTTTTTACTAGTTCAATTTAGACAAAGACAGGAAGGCTGCGCTCTCACAGTGAAGTCATGAGAAAGAAAAAAGAGAAAAAAATGCCCCTGAGGTTAGCGCCGTGATTCTTATGGCTTCAATCATGCACACCATAATTGGTTCAAACTGAGGAGCAATCGTTTTACACTTGCAGTCAAATGTGTCTTTGAACATCAAGGCGTGTGCTGACGTGAGTGCATTCTTTTCTTTCAGCTCTCTGTGTGTCTTGCATACCGTGTGGAAAGTCCCCTGACTAAAAATAACACAATTCTTTAACACAGTGTCATCAAGCAAGCAAGATAAGGGCTTATCCTAGCACTGCTATTCCACAGGTGAGTCTTTGTGTTGTTCCCTGCCACTCTTCCAAAGCATGGCCATGGAAACAAGTTCAAATAGTCAGACAATGCTACATCCCTCCCTTTCCAAATCTCCCCACTTATAAAAATGCAAACATATCACAATGCTTGTTCCTTTTGTTGTCTTTCATTTCTTCAGGTGGTCATAAGCGTGGTATCAAAATCAGCAGCGAGGCTATCCGGGTTCCTGCATGGCTGGCCGGTTTGCCTCTGCTACTTGACAGCTCCTGTCTTTCCACTCCAGCGTCACTGAATGTTATCTGCGCAGCTGTGTTAGACTGCATCCCCATCCCAGCTTCCCTGTGCGAAGCTCGTGTACCTCTAAGACTGTGAAAAGCCAGGGAACAATAGTATCTTGTGTTCCATTCCCTGTTATCTGTCCTTCACTCCTTTATTGAAAAGGCTTACCTCATTTTCTATTAATTACACGAAAACAATGATTTTAGCCAAAGATGGGCTCCCCCGGCGATTCTGCAACTGTTCTTTAATCTTGGTTATGAAGAGAGAACAATGAAGCTGTTGTGCTGTAGTGGCTAGGATAGAAAAAAACCTGCATTTAAATAACACTGAGATAATATGCGTGCAGCCTTGCATTGACTCGTACAAATATGTAAAATCCTGAATAAACGTGCTATGAGTCTTTGTTATGATAAAAGCAATAATACGTTGTGTGAATTGATCCGTGGATTCTGTGTGTGTGTGTGTGTGTGTGTGTGTGTGTGTCTGCTTGAACATGCAAGTGTGCATTATTTGTGAGCATGCCTTTGCATTAAAACTACCTTATTATCCTCCTCAGGGGTGTTAAGCATTGTCCTTAATCCTTGTAACAGGAACTTTGCCTTAACAATTTATGTCCCTCTCTTTGGCTTTCTAAAGACACAAGCCCAAACTAGGATCAAGACCAGCAGGCCTTCAGCAGGCCTTCAGCAGGCTGTAAAATCCTGAATTCACAGTTTTGACTTCAGTCTGAAGTAGCAAGCTGTAAACGACAACAGGTTCCTCTCAAATGAAAAAGAACTAGAGAACAATGTTTTAATCTGTGATGATCGGAGGAGGAGGAAGCTGAACTTCTCTATACCGCAAACAGGCAAAAAAAATCAGTGTTTAATTTAAGTTGTGGAATGTTAAAATGAAATTGCTAGTGCTCATGGAAGTTGACACCCATCAAAGTTAATTTAGTTTTGAACAGCTGCCAGCTTTCACAAATTTCTGAGCAGACAAACAAGTCTCCAATCAACATTTGTCAACACCAACTTATGCAAGTAAAAACCCTGTGTTTATTAACACCTTCAACATTACTGTGTTTGACTGTGTAACTAAGATATGGGTTTCTTATTTTTATTTATTTAATTCAACTTCTTAACTACTCAACCTTCCGGTGTGCCAGTCATTACTGACTCATGTGTGTGTAGCCAAAACATTCTGCAGGGGAGTTCCAAATTGTCTAGAGATGCCATATATGGAATCTAACAAGCCAAACTCTGAGTTAGAATAGTTCACTCATTGTAAATGTTATCTAGCTTCAATGAGAAGCTGGAACCAGCTGATACAGAATATATGATGCTGTCAGACAGTGTGGGATGAGATGATTTTCTACAAATGTAAAGCTGATTAACAAAACAAAAGGGGAAAACTATAGGGCACAGCCGGGACAATTGAAACACTTTTCAGATAAACGTCATTTTGAAGAATAACTTAATAGACAAAAACAATTTTTTGTTGTGATCAACAACTCACGTGTGCTCTATTTTGTACAAATGTGGAATGACTTTGGTCCTGTCACACAACGGTATCCATTTAAATTGTTTATTTTGTTCTTATTTTTATTTCAAATTTTTCATATTGTCCTTTATATGTAATTGCAAATATATTTTGTCCTTTATCTTAATAAAAATATATATTCAATGTTCTAACATTTTTAGAACAGATGGCCTAACAGTCAATGCACATCTGCTTCAAATCATATTGAGTGATTTAAAGTTAAATATAATTTCTCTGAGGTCAAACAATCACTTTCCATCTCACTCACAGTAGAGTAGATATTTTAAAAGTAATGGTCAAAATTGGCCAAGATATCCTGACTTTTATTCCCGAATAAGGCTCAAGTTACAAAAATGCGGGACGCTTTACCTTTCCCATAATTCAACTCAATTGCATCTTTTTCTAGAATCTCCCAGCATGGTGAATGCCATCCAGTTTGTAACACTGTTTCTGTTCAAAATCTGGGAAAACCCTGGTGACATCACCGTTACATGATCGTGGTTATTTTCCCAGACTTGACAATGCTAGCAGAAGACATAATACTGGTAACTGTTTATACATCCCTGTGATGAGTAAACTGATTTAATCTCATTCATCTCATTTTTTTGGTTTCAATTTATTTGTTTATGCACAGAAAGCCTGAAATATGTCTTCACAAAACAAAACAAAACAAACTCTTTATAACTACAGTATTGCAGAATTGTTGGGTCTCTGTTAATAATATTGTAAAGAGTACGGTCCAGACCTGCTCTATGTGAGAAGTGCCATGAGATAACTTCTTTTACGAACTTGCGCTAAATAAAATTGAATTGAATTTTTATGGCTGTTGCTCTTTTTAAATTGAGATATTTGTGTTGTGACTAATCTACTTAAAGCTGTATAATGAAATTAGCCTTCAGTTGCACTGCCCAGCTTTTATTTGCATACATTAAGCTGAGCACTGACCAAAATATTCTGATCCAGGCAGAGGGAATGAAGTTCTGTAATGGAAAATGTGTTCATCATTCTACTCTGTGGGATAATGTTAATTCAAGCAAGTTCTTAAAAACCTGATCTTCACTGGAATGTACTCATTTTAATAAAATATTATGACCTACCAATTTATGTCAGTGGACCAATGGGTGGTGAATGTTACAGATCTTTAAATATGTCTCTCCAAAATACACCGTTGCTCCTAACTCCAGTCAGTCTGACAACAATAAACATCACGCCTTTCTCTGGGCAGATTCAGCATCACGGCTGTGTGTTCCCAAGCTTCCAGAAGCCCTGTAGTCACCAAAACACCATAAAAACACACTTTTACAAGGTCATGTGTGTATGACTGTGGCTTTGCAGTCAATAAAGCTTCCAAATCCTTATGAGTAAATAATGAAGGTGGGCCCAGGCACAGTGGCTGTTTGCCCCTCGTCCCCCATCCAGTGACATACATATACACAATCACATACTCACACTGCTTGCAGATGGCATTCCTCTGCACTCCAGCTGAGGTTGAACAAATATATAAAAGCACTCTGCAGCTTTGACACTAAAAAATAAACTGGGCGGGGCTGCTTTCGGTAGCTGCGGGGAGTCGTGAAAGTAAAATGCCTCCTGTGGAGGCCAAGTTTACGTCTTGGGAGATTAAAGTCGGTGTGTGCGAGTACACAGGGTGCATGTGTTTGCATGATGTAGGGGGAGTAAGTCAGACAGCAGGGCTTGGTTCGTCTCGATCCCACTCAGTGGTTTCTGGTGTCTAGTCTCAGGGTGGGAAGGGGGGGGTGCATAACCTCCCTCTGTTTGACTTTTTAAACAACTTGAGGCATGTCAGGGGTGTGAAGACACTTGTTCTTTGTGTAGTAAAAAAAGGTGACTAAAATGTAATGGATTACTGCTTTATTAAATGGATAATAAAAATGGACACTGGTAAAATCAAAATGTTAAAAAATGACTATCAATGTACTTCTTTTATCCTCTATTTTTATCTTCTAGAAAGTAAATCAACCTTTGCAGCAAAACGGCAAAGCATTTTTTCCTCAATAATGTCAGTCAAGAAAATTACACCTTTAAAAGGTTTTACAAGCTCTGCTGATTTATCTTTCCTCTCATTCACTGCACACACTCACACATCTAGTGTGTACTGCAGTATTCTTCTTTTTTGTTGTTTTTCTCATAGTTGGCACCATTCACCCGTCTTCCTCCATATTTTAACATGTCACTCCACAGTCCTCCGCTCTCTCTCAACCCTCATTTTCTCTGCTGTAGCTCTTCTCCTTAAGTGTTTTAATGGACCCGTCTATCAGAAGACATATAACAGGTAACAGCTCTCAAATCACCCTGACTGTCATTATGATTTGACGAGTTACAGAGTTACTCTTCATTGACCTCAATTGAAGCCAATGATCATCCATCCCCTACCCTATTATGTGCATTTGCTTAATTAATTAGTCCTGCTGCAGCATGATGTGTATACATGTGGGGGGCCTATTCATAGAAAATACATCTCCATAGATTTGGAACATATTAACTCACCTAATCTCCACAGGTATCAAAGCTATTTCCGGTGTGTTCCTTGTTAAGTGTTCTTGTATAAAACTGCCTGTCGTCCTCCTTATTACATGTCGCAATCAGCCGTGACCTAGTAAAACATATACACAGGTCTTGTGTATCGCTGTTTGACTGATTTTTAGATTTTCAATAGTTATGATGCCGATATTCAGCATTGTTAAATTTGGCAATTTATGCATGTAATAGTAGTAATGCATTTAATTCATAGAGCTATTATTTAAACCAAAGTTACATTTAAAAAAGGACAAGTACTCTGAAATGCATAATAACAAGACTGAGAGTCTACAGCCATGCTAGTGGCTTTTACTGCAGCCACTAAATAAAAAACGGAGGTACCAACTTGACGTCACCTTGTTTTGTGGACTACTGTTTTGAAGCCTTATATTTTGGCCTATTGGCTGACGCCATCTTGGTTTGTTGGAACCAGAAGTGCCCATATTTGGACAAGAGGGTGGAATCAGGAGCGATACGCATTGCTACGCCTGGCAAGTTGACATGGTAGCGACTTGTCAATCACAAGGTAGCCACGCCTAATGCATCCCTTGCTTTATCGTCTATTTTCCTCTAAATGGGACCATAATTTACTAAATGGACATCAAGCTGCGTTGAGGAACACATGAAATTAGCAACTAAGACCATAAAATCATTAGCAAAGAGTTTACTGAGGTATAAATACAAGTGAGAAGTAGCCTCATTTTTCATATACAATCTGACTTATTTTTGCCACCAGTGGTGTTACACCCTGCAGGCTGTTTTTACATTGTTCATTATTATTCATTGTTCATTGTGCTCTAACTAAATGCTAATGTCAGTATGCTAACACGCTGTCATGACAATGCTAGCAGTTATTATTTACCATGTTCACCATCTTAGTTTAGCCCGAACATTCTATATTTAGCTAATTGACACTAAATACAAAGTACAGCTGAGGCTGATAGGAATATCATTTCTTTTGCAGGTATTTGGTCATAAACAACAGTATTAGACAAACTGAAACTCAAATATTCACGGGCGGCTGTGGCTCAGGAGGTAGAGCTGGTTGTCTGTTAATTGGAAGGTTGGTGGTTCAACTCTGGCTCCCCCAGGCTGCATGTCGAAGTGGGTGGAATCAGGAGCGGTATGCATTGCCCATCCTTGGGCAAGATTCTGAACCCTGAATTGCCCCTGGTGGCTGTTCCACTAGTGTTTTGAATGTTACTTTCTGTTTGAGCACTTAGGCTCAGTGTATGAATGTGTGTGAATGGTGAATGCAGATGTAGTGTAAAAGCGATTTGAGTGCTCGAAAACACTAGAAAGGCGCTATACAAGTACGGAGCATTTACATTCACCTTAGTCACCCCTGGTCTTTAGACTC